AATCTCTAATGATCCCGAACGGGTAACATGCACGCTTGCTAAGATGGGTTTAGACAGCTGCTTGGAACCTTGGGACAATGGGCCCTTTCGGCAGAGTTCCAAGGTTTAGGGCGAGTTTCTAGCCTTGGAATATTTGGGGTTTCACGTGCGGGAAGGACTGAGAACTCAAAAGAAAAAAAAGGAAGAAAAGAAAAAGAAAAGAGATCCCCGTTCCAATAGTTTCCAATTTGCAAGGCTCTCTCATGCAGAGACGGAATCAAACCTTCCAAGAAAATCTAACCCAACCATGTGGAAGCCACCTGCAGGGCAATTGTTCTACGACCTTAGGAGCTTACCATCGGTTTCAGATGCCACCCGCTCAAGCCTCTCCTTACTAGAAATTACGATGTACCGAACATATTCGAAGCAAGCGCGGGCCTCTTTCTCTGTGACTTGGTCCAGCCAAACAATTACTCCACTGATTACCGCGAATCAAGTCCAACCAGTGGAGTCAATGACTTGAAAAAGAACCAAGTCCGTGATACTACCACGATGCTACCATGATGCTACGAAGTAGTGCCGGATCTATTCTATAACGGGTAGCCGCTGCTGATAATCCGTTTTGAAGTCTGCAGACTTGGAACGTTCCAACCAATGTCTTCGTCTATTCGTCTTCAGGGGGAGCACTCCTGTCTATCCCAAACCCGGTTGAGCCGGCCTGCATTATCTGTTGCGGCTATTGCAGGCGATCCTTGTCTAGTGCCTGTGGCATGCATCGCCACAGAAAACGCTGGCAATATTTGGCGATATGGGCGCACATGACCTTGGTCTCATCCGAAGAGATGCACCGACCTGGGGTTTGTTTCGATACTCCGCATGCATTGAGATCTGGTTATGCAAATCGTATCGAGGTTCTTAAGGGGGAAATCGCGAAGCATTCGATCAGCGGAGACCTCGGCAGACGAGGTACGATCTGCAATGTATGTATTGTGGGCTGTCGGAAATTGCCTGAAACTAATTCCGTGGACCCCACAAGCAAACCGGCAATCTTGCTGTTCCTGTACCGAGTAGACAAAGTAGTATTGGTTAATCCGGAGTATGGTCACCACGTTATTGTACAATGTGCGGAGTATACGTAGCTAACTTCCCCGTACGGAGTATACAGACAGGTATTTCATTGATCATCTTGGTCTTACAGTATAGGGATAAGCCCCAAAATAACTTATACCCCCAGAGGCCCTGCCAATTGAACAATCTAATATGGGTCTCAAGCGAATCCGACTCCTAGGTGACCCTTACAACATACAAAGTAGCTAACACCGGTCCAAAATTGAAGATTAGCTGCAAGATAATCTCGGTACTCCGTACTCCGGACTGTTCTCGCAAATCCTCTTGGCACACAGGTTTTCTACACTAGGCCCGCTAGACTGCGTGCCGAGACAAGGGTATACTCCAACCATGGATCGCAGTATAAAATTGGACCCTTCTGAAGGGTTTGGCAGATCAAAGTGAAACATAGTCGCTGTATATACCGGATTTTAGGCCGTGGCCGCGACTTGCCCGATTAGGGTGCCGCTGCTTTATGAGGGCGCTCAGGGTCATGCTCACTGAGCATTTCTCAGCACAGGGTGATTAGTTACTCGGTGACCAATTTTTTTTTGCTTAATAAGCAACCACGTGATACTCCTCAAATGCTCAGGAATGCTTAGTAATGTAGAGATAATGCTCAGGTCATGCTCAGTGAGCACTCAAACTAGGCTTAGTGCACGCACGGACTTGCTTAGGTAATTTGAGGCCTGAAAATGAAGGCTCTAAGTGAACTGCTGAGTCATAACTATGTCGAATGGACCATTTCCTAGCCATCTATTCTGTGATGCTAGCGCCAGCAACTAAAAGTCCATCATTTATTGGCCATCTTTTTCGTTGATTTTTTTTACTACCTCATTTGTTTGCCAAATTTGGCCCCCGAGAATCTATAACGTGTAAAAGTACAGCGTTAGTGTTTTTGCCTAACTGACTATAGTCAGGATGGCTTTTCGTGCGATATCTAATATCCAGTCAAGCTATAAATACAGCGACATCCCTCGGGAATTACCATCAAAACATCAGGAGAGGTTTACAAACCACTATCTCTTCTTCATTCACTTTATACCCCGTCCCAGCGTATCCAGTGTCGCTTTCCAATCCTAGATTATAGGTATATAGCGCCAGATTTGCGATTTAGCAAGGGAACGGAGACTGGATGTAACGGATAAAGATTCTTACAAAGAGAATACCATGTCAGGCAGTCTTGGGCAGATCGACCCCAAGTCGTGGCCGATCAGAGAGGGGTTCATCACATAATATACATGTCGACATTGGAGAGATAGATCCCTTATATCTAGGACCCCCTAGGGTCCCTTAAGAAGACTGGCAAGAATTAGTCTTAGCACTCCAGACAATACATTATGTTCTCCTCTAAGCCATAGTATCTTACCCGGTTGACAGGCTATACACCTGGAAATAGCATACCTTTACACTACAGATTCATTATATGGCTGTCCACGGATATTCGACAACGCGTATGCCTTCTGTCACCATTTATATGACGTATATGGCTTAATAAAGGGCATCTAGCAATTGAAAAGTATAGATACTAAAGAAGACGAAGCGACGAAAGTACTATACGTGCGCGGAAAAAAGAGAGCTTTACAATCCGAGTAGCGACAATTCGACGAAGAGAGAAGCCAAAAATGCGTGAAAAAAGGTCAAATGGATAACTATAACCTGGCATATACTTTTCACATGGAAGAAAAAGGCTCTACAAGGGGGATAGAGAAAAGGCGGCCGACACAAATCCAACTCCGCCATTATCAGCCTCTAATTGACCTCATAAAGCAACATGAAATGAGATGTTTATTGAATTTGACTACTCTAAATTGGATCACACCATCGTCTTGCTTGTTCAATTCCCTCAAAACACCACACCATAGCTTCTCGCTCCACCAAGAACACAAGTCCCATGTCCCCTGTTTGTCTACCTACGTGGGTCCAACCCAACAGGAATATACTTACTTTTCGATCTTAGATACGGGCCATACTGAATCAGCACCCACGGAACGGGGACGAGTGTAAGAGAAATAAACCCGAGAAGTGAGGTCGACCAATTGATACGCAACCTCTCCATGGCTTGCACCCAGAACAGGGGCGTAGCAGCGGAAAGAACATATCGAAGCATCACTTCTCCGGCGAAGGCGGATGCACCGTACTCTGCGCCGTAGATGTCATTTTTGTATACGGTATATGACATCTGTAAGGTTAGTCGGGAGATATGAAAGAACCATGCGGCTTAGTTGGTAAACTCACGGCAACAGTGGCATGGCTAATCCCGAAGAGGACACCTGACAACATTGGAGCAATCCAATGTAATTTCCGGTCGTGCAGTCCATGCAAGCCTGATTGTAGTAATGTTAGAAGATTGCTTATGGGGGCCAAATCAGGGACAGGGGGAGTTGCGGGATTACCAGAAAATTGAGACAGGTGCAGTAACGCTACCAATACAAGCTGCGATAAGCCTCAGTTCAGGCTCAACTTTGGTGTCCGTTTTTATGGCAGCCTCCCGTGCTTTCTGATACTTCAGCTTGTCGCAGATACCGATGACAAGGACGCCGAGTATATTACCACCCAGAATAGGAAGAAATGCGAGCCCTTGCTCTTTCTCGGTAAATTGATAGACACGTTTGAATATTACCGGGTAAGCAATGTACCAGCAGAATAGGATAGCCTGAAGGATGGCACAAGCAAGGGACGTGGGCAACACGACGGGCTCGATCAGGAGCATATACAGTGGACGAGTGAAAGCCATGCGTAGGGTTCTCTTGTAGTTAATCGGAGAAACGGAGGCGCCCTTGTTCTTATTGTGCTTCTTCGCAAGGTACAGGTGATACGTCTCCGGGACAGGGAAGGTCAGAAGCACAATGCCACCAAGGAGAATAGCATTGAGCCAAAAGGTCCAGCGCCAGTCGTCTGTTAGCGTGACGAGAGCAGCTCCTGTGGAGGATCCAATTGCGGCGGGAAGGAGATTCATCAATGCAACGGTCAGGGCCAGCAAGGTCCCGGTTTTAGACAATGCGACGTCCCAGAGATCATTGACGATTCCCACACTAACGGTTCCTGCGGGAGATATAGCCAGACTGGACAGGAACCGATATATGACTAAAGTCTCGAAGTTTTTTGCTGCCCCGCCTAGCGCGGTGAAAAGCAGGGCCATTGGGATTGATATTCGCATGATCCATTTCCGCCCAAAGAATTCAGAGAAAGACGCAGCGATTGGGGGCCCGATGATCTGACCCAGACAGTAAAATGAAATTGGCGAGATGGCCAAAGTGGTTGAGACTCCGAACCTCTCAATCACTCCTGGTATACTGGCAACATAAATAGAATTGCCGTAGATCCTGTAACGGTGGTCAGGACCACTGTTTCTGAAAACCAAAGAGGAGTTTTCACTTACATAGCGAACGGAGCAATACAAGCACCGACTACAAAAATAAATCTCCTAGCACGAGGCCAGTCTCGGGGATTTTCGCACCCTGATACTTCCTGGTGGTCTCCGCATTCGAGGCCAAGCTCCGGGACAGGAGGTGTCTTCGCTGAAGTCGCGGATGAAGGTGAAAACTCCATGTTGGTAGTAGGGGACGAACTCAAACTGGGGCGGAGAGATTTGCAGTCTATGTGAGGACGATATTAAAAATCTACTATCCTGTCTTCCCTGGGTTATACCTTTCGTGGGCCTACATCAGGTGGAACTAGGTCCCGGGGTTGACATCTTCTTTGGGATGCAATGTGCGCGTAGCAAGACGTTACTTACAGACTAATACAAAAACAGGCCATGCACGACGGTGCTTTCATACCAAATTGGCAGATAATTGAGCCCCAAACCTGGCTTCATCTTCAGCTGCCAACGCCTTGGCGGATGAGATCGGGAAAACTCCGCTAGTGGGCGACCTTAATTTTAACGACTTTTAGAATGCCATGTCTTTTAATAAACCGAATCGCCTTTCCAGTGGCCCATAAAATGGAAAATATTATAACCCACTGTAAGACGGCATGTCCTGCCCAGTAAACTGAAGGCTGTATTTCCTTGGTGGCCTAACCGCAACGTGTCAACTGATGGAGCGTTTACAATGCTGGCTCTGACTTTCCATTTTAGCTTTTTATTCATATGCCCGAGAGAGCCATGGTAATATGTGAGACGATTTGGTGAAAAGGTGAGTTTGCACCTATTTAGCGTCGGTCGATTATGGTACATCATCGAGCCCAAATAGTGGACTCTAAATCCAAGCCACTAGATGAGAGTCTGTGCCAACTAACCTGTCGGTCAATATATGAATCGCATCGGTAAAATGGTAAATGAGCCCCAAACCGATGACTACTTCACAGATTTTGACCTGAACTCGTTATTACCAGTCTTTCCCCCCTGCTCTTCGTCAAATCAACCTACCTCGGATTTCACATATTCAAAATGCATTTTTATCTACATATTGCATTCACAATATGTGCACTCGTCAGCTCAGTCAGTCAATTTTGTTCGAATCTTCTGTGTCTGCCAACTGACAAGGACATAATATCAGCTCCTCGGACTATGTCTGTATCGAATCTATTTCCATCGCCTGCGAAAACACCCAGGCCCATTACTAGCCAGTATAACAAACTGGTACGCTGCATACTATGTATGGAATGGCAATATTCACCTGAAGCTACGGGAGTGGCATGAGATACATGGTGAGAGGCACTTCCCACACAAAAGAAATAATTATCCTATGTCTGACTTTTGAACGGAGAGAAACAGGCGATATCGTACGATTCGGCCCTGATTCAATATCAGTCAACTCATACGATGCGTTATCACAAATATATTCAGCGCGAGCCAACGTGCGCAAGGATGATGCCTACTCCGTGATGAGTGCCAGTACCCATATTCCAAGCACCATCAGCTGCTTGGATAAGAAACAACACGCTTCTAAGCGGAGGATCCTTGCACAGCTATTCACCGAGACAGCGCTGAAAGGGGTGGAACATCGTGTTTTGTCTAATATTGACATTTTTTGCACCTATCTCGGTGCTGACAATCCGAGCACATGGGGGAGTGCAAGGAATGTCGCCGTATGGTCGGACTACTTGACCTTTGACATCATCAGTAATCTCTGCTATGGGAAAGCCTTCAACCTCCTTGGTTCAGAAGCGCTCAGGTATATCCCAGGAGTCATTGGCCATGTGAGCCGTCGAAATGCCATTGTAAGTCATTCCTTTCTGCCATGTCGGACTATCGAGATAGAATATCGGTCTAACGACCGCAGTGCTTTGTCCAGCCAAGTATATATAAATACAAGCTTGACCGAATTTTCCTATCAACCATTTCCTCTCAGATTCGGGATTTTGGACTTTGGATCAAAGTGCAGGCCAAGGCCCGTCTGAATACGAGAGAACAAAACAACTCCAGCGACTTTTTTGATTACCTGACTACAGCAAAAGACGCAAAGACGCAAAGATCCCTGAGCCAAAAAGAGATATGGGTGGAACTTCTTCAGTTGGTTATTGCAGGGTCGGATACCACAGCTGTAGCAATAAGTGCAGTATTCTTCCACCTCCTACAAACCCCAGATGCTTTGTCTCGAACAACAACAGAGATTCTCACTACAATCAAAGACGTCAACGAGATCCGTCCCGGGAACCTGTTGAGGTCATGCGAGTTTCTATACGCTTGCATCAATGAGGCTTTACGCCTTTCGCCGCCTGTCACAGGCTTGGCCCCTCGTAGGGTTCTTTCGGGCGGTATCAGCATTGACGGGGCGCATTTCCCGGCAGGAACCATCATCGGATCCCCCATCTATACGCTTCATCGAAACCCGAAGTACTTCCCAAATCCTGATTCGTTTATTCCCAGCCGCTGGTTGACTTCACCGAGTACTAGACGGTCTCCATTTTGCCCTTTTAGTGTTGGACCCCGCGCGTGTGTTGCAAAAAGGCTCGCCATGGATGAAATAAGCGTTACTATCGCACGGACGCTCTTCCTATACGAGATGCGCTTGGACAAAGCTTCCACAGGGGTGACGGATTATCGGTTAAAAGGCTGGATGACATCTGGTCGAGATGGACCATTTGTTCAGTTTAAGCCGAGGTCGCCATAAGGGTGATAGCCATTAAATATTATCTTCTTTTGGGGGCAAGAACCAAGATTGAATAGAATAGATGAATGATCAAGAACATATCCAATTTCCTACATACTCAAGATTCAATGGAAGTTCGGTCTAGTCCTTAGCTAATTGACCTGGCACCTCGCTCATGGTGCTGTACGGCGGTATATCTCTGCTTACGAGTGGTGGATGGGGGTACGACCACCTCTGACTCAGCCTCAGCCCCAAGAGCGCTAATTATTTTGTTTTTAGTATTGTCAGGCATAACGTGTCCCCCTTACTAGCGGCGGTTTCCCGACTCTTAAAGCGCCAAGCGCTTGGCGTGAGATCCATCTTCAAGTGGGTCACTTCGCGAAGTCGCGCCGGATTTACATAGAGATGCTATTTCAGCTTTCATTTTTCAGTTCTCATCTTCCATTGCCGATTCTTCTTTCTTCCTTTTTTCGAATATTCACTCTCTAGGATGGGAATTGGTTTGCTCGGAGACATCGCTGCTACACACGCAATTGACCAAAAGTGCGAAATGGAGGCTGCGTCTAAATCTATCTTGGTTTTCGGTGCCTCAAGTTTGACGGGACAACATATCGTCCAGGAAGCCCTGGTCAATAACTGGGAAGTCAAAATCTACGGCCGCCGCACCCTCCCAAGGCACGCCAGGACGCCCCATATCACAGTGAGACTCCTTCCTACGCTCTGCCCTCCCCAACGTCCGGACTAACCGTAATCCAAATAGACAATGGAAGGCAGTTTGGAAGATGTATCTAAGTTACGGCAAGCCATGAAGGGTACAAACGTCATAGTCTCCGTACTAGGGCCGTCAGGCACTAGCATTAAGGACACGCCCTTTCCGGCCTTTTACCAAAGGGTCTTTAAGATTATGCGAGAAGAAAAGGTCAAACGGATCATTGCCTTGAGCACGTTCAGCGTGTCACATCCAGAGGACCGTTTTAACTTTTCTTGTACCTTGCTAGTTTCAATGCTGCGGCTCCTTGGAAACAGTGCCTGGAGAAATCTAATTGATGTGGGGCAAGCCTTTGACCAGCATGCAGATGGTTTGGAATGGACATTATTCCGGGTAGGCTTTTTGAAAGACCAGGGCCCAAGCGAGGTTATCCAGGGGTATGTAGGTGATGGGAAACTGGGGATGGGGGTGAACCGGATCGATGTCGCGCGCTGGGTTATGAGGCAGGCCGGGATGGAGAAGGCGGAGAATGTGGGGGACAAACCAGGAATTTCTTCTAGTTGAGTAGGTTTGATATATTTTCTTGTCAAAGAATTTGCTTATCGTTTGATAAATAAGCAGTTTGAACGTGTTTCCTGATTTTCCACAATTCTTAATCTTGAACATCAATAGCTAAGCTATCGGGCTTGTGAGGCGCCGAATGGCCGCTAGCGTGCCACGCTGTAGCCACTTATATACAACCGCGAATTTCTGGGCCACCTCGCTTCAAACAACATTTTTTCCAAGTCCTGATTCAATAAGAATGGGTATGCTCATTCCAACGTTGTGGGCGGCTATCTCCGGGGTCTTGTGTTATGGTCTGTTACGCCTGAGATTCCTACGAAACACCCAATATGCCCATCTTCCAGGGCCACCAACGTCTCTTTTATGGGGTCATCTCAAGGTCATAGCCCAAATCATCTGGCCAAACCCCGCAAAACATTTTGGTATGTAAAGCCTAGTGCGTTTTCTCTTTGATGACCAACGTACAACTGCAATGAAGCTAACCCGAGCCGGACGCAGAGTACGGAGTGCATGAACTTATCAAGAATCAGACGGATGATACTGGCCTTAGTATGAACTCCATGTCAACTCTCTTAGCGACGGTGGAAGTATAGTTCGAAACTAATTACAACTTGACATAGTGCTTCTTGATCTCCGTCCCGCCTTCTACCCAATAGCAGTCATTCATTCCCACGAGCTGGCGGAGCAAATTTCCAAAGCTACCACGGAGTTCAGGTATAGTGTACCGAAGGCGCCACTGCAGGAAGTTATCGGACATGTTATCGGTAGCAATTCTTTCCTGATGTCCAACGGCGAGAAATGGAAACACACCCGCAAGGCGTTCAACGTGGGCTTTGCGCCAACACATCTGGCAACGTTCATCCCGCAGATCCTCGAAAAAGTCCAAATCTTCCTTCAGGGTCTGGACGTGTATGCGGAATCCGGGAAGGAGTTCAATTTGGGCGAGCGGTGTACGCTGCTCACCTTCGATGTAATCGGTGAGTTGAACCTGGCTTACCGAAATTAGCGAGAATATAACATTAACAAGGTTCTCTGACATGTTTGTAGGGCGCGCAATACTCGATATCAATCTCAACAGTCAGGGAAAGGACTCTGAGCAACACGAAGTCGTCCGCTGTTTCCGCGAACTCCTCGCAAATCTTTCATTCTGGCCGCAGCTTGAGTGGTTGATCAGCCCTTCCAATTACAGCCGGCGGATGGAGCTCACAAATACGATCGACACATCGCTTCGGTCAATTGCTCGAGACAAATTCGACAAGCTCCATAGCGATAAGTCTGAAACATCTGATCGGAGTGTATTGTCCTTGAGCCTCAAGAGTATCGACTCGTTAGATTCTCAGGCAATGCAAGAAAGCATAGACTCGATTCGAACATTCCTGTTTGCAGGCTACGATACCACCTCGGTTGTTCTCCAGTGGGCCTTCTACGAACTCTCCCGAACACCTCGCGCACTTACCGCGCTTCGAGAAGAGCTAGATCGAATTTTGGGCCCCAACGCTGAGCCAAGTGCGATAGCGGACGCTATTCTATCCGATGTTGGCAAAGTCAATCAATTATCCTATCTGTCCGCTGTCATCAAGGAGACCCTCCGACTACATCCGCCGGCCGGAACCTCTCGATTTGTCCCACCTGGAACAAATTTCAGATTACAAACTAACAAGGGACCCCTGTGCGTTGATGGTATCATTCTCTACATTAACCATTTTTCGATCCAACGAGACCGGACCGTCCACGGAGAGTCCGCGGAGGCTTGGATCCCGGAGCGCTGGCTGGAGTCCCGGGACGAATCGATTCCAGCTAGTTCTTGGCGGCCATTTGAACGTGGACCCCGAAATTGCATTGGCCAGGAACTGGTGAATCTGGAAGCAAGACTCGTCCTCGCGATGACCGCTCGGCGATACGATATCACCAAGGTCGGCATCGGGGCTCCAGTCTTGATGTCGGATGGTGTTGCGAACGTTGATGAATGGGGTCAATATCTGATTACGGAGCCACTATATGATGTGAGTAATGTTTCATTGGTTTTTATCCCTCAACTGGCTAATTTACTCTAGACTTTCAACATGTCAGCAAAGCCAGTGGACGGAACCATGGTGACGGTGAGATATCGCCAGCAGAATGAGAGTATCGGAAATTGACCCTATGGGCTGTACGAAAACACAGTGGAAAGGTATATTCGCTTAACCTGTCCTTGTGGCCCCACTGTGAAATGGGAGAGATATCTCTTTGCAATTCCAGTCACCCCAAGTCGATCAGCAGTCTACTGAGGAAAGTTAGTGTCAGTTTACTCTTATCCAAATGCTGATCTGCCGATCGCGTAATATAACGCTGCTCGAACTTCCTCCGTCCATCAGCTCGCCAACTAAATTGCACCAATAGCCGACCGCGCTGGAAACGTGGCTTTATTGCACCCCTTAGCTCGTATAATAATTTGCCCACTTCAATAATTATTTTTGCGGGTGAGATACAAAATAATAACTAGTAACAAGCGTAAACAATTCTCTTTCTTGGCAGCTCAGCCTCACTCCCTTATCAAAGACCATCGGCAAAGTCTCTACCCGTCATCCTGTCCCTTTTTTTCCAACATAGCCGTTGCCGTCTGGAAACTGACATATACGATATAACTCAGTATCCACAATCCAGTGGCGTAGGCACAGGCTGCATAACTGGTACAGGTCTGACGCTCCAGGGATGGCTGCAGACGAATCAAAGACCACCATTCAGACGTATAGGACGGAGTCGTGCTTCTCGTGTAGAATGAAGAAGCGAAAATGCGACAAGCAATTACCAGCTTGCTCGAGATGCAAGCGGTAAGGAGAACCCACTGTCGTCTGCAAGAAAAAGAAAGAAAAAAAGAAAAACCAAACTGACACCAGCTTTGAATACTCTTAGAGCAGACCAACAGTGCCTTTATGGAAGCGCTGTCCATGGTGTATACGGCGCTATTGTCCCTATCACCAATAGAGAGCAGACTGAAATCAGGTATGTGACCGTCACAACCTTTTGAAGCTTAGAAGCACGACCGGAACTCACCTGCTGATGTAGCCTAAGATCAGTTCATTCTTCACCTGACCTAACACCCCAGTCTTTAGCAAACGCAACACGAAAGTCGTGTCGCAGGTGTATGAAACAAAAGATGTTATGTGATAAGGTTTATCCTTGCTGTGCGAGGTGCAAAAGGTACAATCCCAATTCGAGGATTTTGCAGTGAATATGGATTGACCGGTCTAGAACCAACGCCACTTGTAGCTACGAACAACTAGATCGACTACGCTTGTTGAGCTCCCAGCATCTCTTCTATCCTGATTTCGCAGGAAAATCTGTCCAAACCAAGCCTTCCTACCCAGTCGAATCAAAACCCTACTTCCCAGCGCTTATCAAATACTGTAAGCGAACCGGTTCCAACCTATATAAACCCAGGGAATACAATAATATAACAAAAAAAAAAGCTAACAAAACTCAGTCCAGGATCGTATGGGTCTTTCAGCCCTGCAGGTAGATATCGGCAGTCTTGCATATCACCTACGGTCCTCGTGGGTCCAAAATGCCCTAACCGATCCCTGCTTATTCCACGCCACACTTTACGCGGCGTCTGCACAGCTAGACACAATTCGCGAAACAAGTCCAAACTCCAACACAAGCACCAACTGTGTCACTCTCTACCATCAGGCCAAGACGATTAACATTTTGAACTCTCGGATCGCGTCCGGGGGCGAAATGGACGACGTGACCATCGCTGCCGTCCTCATGCTGGTCATTAGCGGGTCCCTGCAGAATGATAACCAAGCCGCGGAGGTCCATATGCTGGGGCTGCTCCGGATGGTGGCCCTAAGGGGGGGGATGGTGAAGCTTGGGTTCAATGGCTTCCTAGCGCAGATGATCAAAATGTAAGTTGGGCCCACCGTGGTTCCATTAGACTGAAATAACACCCTTAACAGGAATATGGTCCTTCCGGCTGTGGTGTTCGATCGACTTGGCGTATTTCACATAGAGGGAACAAGCCATCCAGCGGCCGTGAGAAACCTACCAGATCTGACCCTGCAGAGACTGGAAGCCAGTACCACCGGAAATGGCAGAATCAGGTCTTACATGACGGCCACTTTTCAACATGTACAAGGACTCCTTCTCGCGGTTGGGGGAGAGGATGAGATTGGAGAGCCTGGGTACGATTTTGTCGCTGTGAGGGATATGATAGACCATGTAGCGCCGTGGAATAATCCCTTACCGGAAAACATTTCCAGCGGTGAAGATGCGATGGTTCGGTCTTGTCTGTGGTCGGTGAGTATTCTCCGTTACCTGCTAGATGACCGCCTACCACTGCAAACGCACAAGCTGGTTGCAATGGTAGTGGAGATGAAGTCGCATGTCTCTAGAAGTGATCCAACGACTTGGCTCAAATATGCCCCGCACGCAAACTTGTGGGTCATACTGCTTGGAATGGCGGTGTCAGAGGATGTCCAAGGGCGGCTATGGTTTTTAATGAATGAGAAATGCGTGGTGATGTCAATCAAAGACTCCACGCCGGCTATTCCTGAGAATGTCTGGTCTTGTTACTGCTGGATGAGACGGCTGATGCATGCGCGTTTTGCACTATGGACTGCATCTGACTACGATGCTAACGAACTATTCTCTATTTGACAAGCGTACCAGATGTGACAGAAAGACATAGAATCACAGATATTTTTCCAAATCTTCGAGTAGCGGTGCAGCCTACTCCGCGATACAACGAAATAATTTCCAACGGCTCGGCTATTAAGGTATTCTAATCTACGAACACGCTGCTGTCACCACATTACTCCCAGTGCTGCACAAAGCCTATTACATTTCGTTGATCTCCTTGACAACCCTGAGAATCTCTGTTCTAGCCCCATCCCACTTTTTTCTCCTTGGTCCGTCAAACAGTCGATAGAGATGTGGGCTAAGCATCCCATACATCAATGTGTTGCAGAACGATCTGTCACGCAACCTGAACCTCCACCCCTGCATCCCATACCCCAGCTTGCTGTGAACATTGGTCCCGGCAGTCTCATTGACCCAAACATACCACTCTGGAGCCCGCACAAGGTCAGGGTGCGGTGCACACTGCCCTTTTCCGCACGGGACGAAAACCACTGATAATGGCTATCGACCTGAACCTGCATCATATCTCGAGGTGGCAACGTGATATTTCCTTTCCGGACTTGGGCTAGAGCCGTTGATGCCAGATCGTAGACGTGGAATACGGCCATTTGGAAACCCACCCCACACACATAGGCTAGGGAATCTGGGTAGTTGAGGGAGAAGATATTCTGGTATAGTTTTGGGACAGGCTTGGAGTCAGCTCGGGAGCCCGGGAGAGTTATTGGGGTATCGTAGGTATTCTGGAACTCATCCTGGTAGTCTCGGAGGATGGAGAATCTGGCTTATAACCTGTACAGAAAATGATGCAGTCGAGGTCTGATATCTGGGTTCCATCGCTTAAAAGAACTGTCTGCGCGTCTCAGTAAGGTTTGCCACTGGTATGATCTTCTCTTCTTGCATCGCGCCAACAATTTCGTCATTTATCAAAGGCAGGCACTGGGTAAACGGGCGCAGGTTTTCGTTCACTTGCCACTCAGGTCGGAGGGTATGGTACTGATTCTGCAGTCGAATAATGGACCAGTTGTAGATTTTTGGGATATAGTCCATGTAATTTTGCATGATCTGCAGCCTGGTCCAAGATATGTTATGATCCACGGGCTTATTCTTGTTCCATCGTTTTAGCTGATCGCCAGTTTGTGGGTTAGCCTGACGCATTCAACGGGGTAATGCCACTAAAGAACGGTTGACTCACGAAAATTGTTCCTTTTCGGTGACTGCTGCAGATTTTCTCCGCTACTCCAAGCAGGTTTGTCGCTGTGTCTCCAGCAAAATTGTTCGATCCGACAACGAGGACACGTTTGCCGGTAAAGTCGCTTGGGCTGACAAAATTGGTTAGAAATGTGATCGGTAAAGTATGAAGTGAGTGTAAGCTACCCTTTGTACTGCTGAGAATGGATCACTGTGCCACGAAACCTTTCAATCCCTTTTATCTTAGGGGAAACAGGCAATTGATTGATGCCCGTGGCAATGACGACGCGGTCAAACTGTCTCATGAAGATTTCTGCACTGTCAGTAGCGTTACTTCGTAAGGTCAGTTCCCAGCAGTCAGCTTTGTTATTCCGTATCATTTTGACCACCTCAGTGTTTGTCTCTATCAAGTCATTCAGCTTGAAATACAACGCATAGTCCTGAAGGTACTGGTGTACTTGGCGGGCTGGCGGATATATAGGAGTGTCATCTTAGTGGACAATCATGCAAATCAAAGAACCGTTCAATTCTGTCGTGAACATACCGGGTCTATGCGGAAATCAGTGAAGCAGAACTGCCCAACAGGCTCAATCAAAGGTCACAAGTATCGGTTCAGTTATGGAAACCGTACCTTGTACTTGGATCCATTTGTGCAAGTACCTGCTTCATTGTCAATATTAGGGCGCAATAGTGAGGTCCAAAGCTTGGCAAGCATACTTGCCAGTGCGGTCGTCTTGGTAGTAGAAACATCGTAGCTCCACACGCCGCCAATGGAGCTGCTGCGCTCGAATCCCGTGATATCAAAACCCTCGGCGAGATTCTTTAAAGTCGCAAGGTCTGAAGCGCCAAGGCCAATCACGGCCACTTTTGCTTTTTCCGGCATCAAGGAGTATTATTAGGGTAAAAAAAAAGAGTGAAGAAGAAGAGGTAATGCAAACAATAGGATAAAAGGGTCTTGCGCCTCGTTGCATTGGACTTCCTTTCGTATCTTTCTAGCTCTCCACCACAGGGGTGGGGTCCTTGACTTGGAGTAATCCATCGCGTCCTTGACTTGGAGTAATCCATCGCGATGAGAGTCGGGAACTCACCGCTAGCGTGGAACTGCAGGAATTTAGAGCCCCGTTTCCCAAATTAGGGTCTTGGCGTCGGTTTTCAGCCGCTAGTGGCCGTCATTCCGATGTTACAACTACGTGATTGGGGAACGGACTCAACGTAGTGTAATCAGCGCAATTACTTCATTATTTTATTACCGACTTATCTCCAGCGGAGATAAGCCAAGGTTGACACCATCTATCAGTAAAGAAAGGCCTAGAAAGGGTAATACCGGGGTTTCCGGCTTCTCGAACTGGTCTTCCAGGGCTGCAATCAACGTTTTAACAGCTCATCTAAGATCACATAAATAGCCGGTCATCCCTTATAGAACAGGTCAAGAAAATCAGCAACTATCCTCCTCGGTTCCTTCTTTAAGTCTACATCAAAAACCCCAAAGAATAACTGAAATCGAAATGGCCAACGTACAACTCATCTTCGGGGGAGGGTCATTCCTCAATGATATCAGCAGCCCCTCTATCGAAGATGTCAAGAAGGCACTTGACAAGCTTTATGAGCTGGGTATCAAGGCCATTGACACCGCGGTCGTCTACGACAAGTCCGAGGAGTTCCTTGGAGAAGCCCATGCCAGCGATCGTTTCACCATCGGAACCAAATACCCCAGTGGCTTCGGACCGGAAGGAAGCTCCAAGGATGGCCTTCTTTTGTCGGCAGAAGAGAGTCTACGCAAGCTCCAAACAAACCAGGTAGGTCTTCCAAATCCAAAATCGTAACAATCAGAGACAGTGCTAAATCACTCAGCTTGATATCTACTACTTGCATGCCCCCGATCGAAGGACGCCCCTTGAAGGCATCCTTGAAGCCGTCGACACTCTCTATAGAGCCAAAAAGATCAAGCGGTTCGGTATTTCCAATTTCCTCGTCGCCGAGGTGGAAGAGTGGATCCGCATCGCTAAGGAAAAGGGCTATGTGCTGCCTTCTGTCTACCAAGGCAACTATTCTGCTATCGCGCGACAGGCGGAAGTAGATCTTATTCCCACCCTTCGCAAGCATAATATGTCCTTTTATGCCTACTCGCCGATTGCCGGCGGCTTTCTAACGAAGGAAGTGGAACAGTTACAAGCTGGGGGCCACGGACGCTGGGACCCAAAGAGCCTCTTTGGAGGACTCTACAATGCTCTTTACAATAAGCCTGCCATGCTAGAAGGACTGCGTCTTTGGGGAAAGATCTCAGACGAGTCGGGGATTCCTAAGGCGCAACTGGCCTATCGGTGGGTAGTTTATCATTCCGCATTAAAAGGCGAACTTGGCGATTCCATCATATTTGGTGCAAGCAACGTGGACCAAATTACGCAGACCGTGGACGGGGTTGGTTGTGGTCCTCTGCCTGCGGAGATCGCAGCGCAGGTTGAGGAGGTGTGGAAGATTGTGGAATCTGTGGCGCCCGTGGATAATTTCAACAACGCAATTACAAGTCAAGATCCATAGATAAGAAGATCGATACATACTGAGAGATAACTCTCTGAGTACTTTATGCATTGAGACTTTTCGGCACCATGTTCTTTTACCCACTGCCTAATACGTTTTGTGGTTTTCGGCACGCACACTGTAAGGCTAGTATATTAGACTTGTTTGTACTATTTAGCACAGGACAAGACAGCCAGCTATCTCCCGAACGCTAGCCTATCTGATTGGCTCATTTATTGTGACTGAGCTTCCAATAAACTGTTCTATCGTATTTATTCGTGCCCGGATCATATCATTTTACTGTATTATTTAATACATAGTTGCCAATGTGGTTTTTCGATTGAAATCGAAGAAAGCCATTGACTTTTGAGCAACAATAAACACTAATCGATACATATCAAAATAACCCCGCTGAAAAAACGCTTCAAGGATGACCATCCGAGACTCCGACATTATGCACAACACACAACACAGCCCCAATCCTCAAAGCTCTCACTTGATGTGAACTTGGAAAACACCGCTGCCAAATCTGAGCAACATCATAAACAATGTATTCATTGTAATAAAGTCCCGCACCCTGCGCCTCCTGCTGTTTGATCTCAACATCAGGCATGGTAACACCCTGCAAAGCAGGATTTAAACAAGTAGCACCCTTCCACCCACCAGGGATATTGCGACCTTTTCCGAGTGTTGCGAGTTTGCCTGTCTGCTTGCATACATCGCCGGCGTTGTAATCGCTCCTCTCAAGTTCCAGCATTGGGGCTCCGACTTCGGCGTCGCAGAGTAGGAGAGCCATGCCGCCGCTGTTGTAGTGGCAGCAGTAGTTGGCGGATTGGCTAGATGTGTCGGCTAAGTAGACTCCCTTGCCGGACATATAGCCGTTTACTGGGGCTTCCGGGGATGCAATGCGAAGTCCTTGGCTTAGGATACCACCGAAGTTTGTCCTTCGGGACCCGTGCCACAGGAGGCGGCGGTCACTGTTGGTGATGCTGGCGTAAGGGGATGCGTTGAAACGGTCATTTTCGCCTTGGCGCTCGATGCGGAAGATGTTGGTAACTTGGTACTCAAGATGGTGAGTTGATCCGCGGGAGTTTTGGAGATAGTCTTCCAGTTCTTTGAATTCGGTTGATTCATGATCCACTGGTTGCTATTAGTTTTTGCTCACATACTGGTGTTTTTTGGTACTCACGTTCGACCATCTCTTCCATTCCCAGACTCTGTAACTGGCGATCCAACTCATGTATCTCATCGGCACCTTGGTTGTCTCTCATGATCTCGTTGGTAACGTCCATGTCCGTCAGGGCCTCAAGCAGCTCAACCTCCTTCTTGATCTGCTCGTTGCTTCCAAGAGTTGGAGGCCGGTTACGGCCAAAAACGTGCGGAATCAGTGTGTAGTAGCGGTCACTAAGGCTTTCAATCGCATTCATGTATGGGAGTCCGTATGTCGCATTGGCGGTAGCCGGTGCCGCGATCAGTTCAGAGAGTTCTTTGAGAACCAAGAACTCATTTGTCAAGGTCCGCTTGCTCAGCTTTCCGAGAGGTATCTTATTGGCATCATAGGACATCGCCGCCAGAGCCTCGAGGACATGGTTGCTGTTGAAGATGGACTTCATCAAGTTCTGAATAGGCTTTGAGAGACCGCTTACAACCTCGAGTCCATTCTCGTTCTTGACACCGTTGTCCTTTTTGACTTCCTTTTCTTCCTCTTCCTCATCTTCCTCGTAGTTACGCTCGAGGAACGTGTACTTTCCATGCTTTGGAGTGGCAAGCCGATCTTCCCACTTCAAGCCTGACTTGCTCTTAAATTTGCCCTCAAACTGTTTGATTGCTTCTGTCAAGCTACCATCTCCAAGCCTGGCTGACTGACCGTGCTCTCCAACTCGGCCCCACCGGGTCCAAGTGACATATTTTCCCTGTTTGCCGACCAGGATTTGGACACGATAGAACTTGTTTGCGTTACTGGCTGACACGGTTTGATTCAAGGTCGCATCCCAGATCAGACCCGCGTCATCGATATAAACGGTGGGTTCGGAGGTGAAAGTGTCAGTGTCTTGTTTCCATGACATCTTGCCATCTCAACTCACGCAGAAAACCACCCGAACGATCATCGAACCCTTCATCAACTGGGACATTCAGAGACTTCATACTAGCCTTCTGGATGTCCTTTAGCTTCTTTTTCGGCTCCTCGGCTGGCTCGTCTTTCACTGCGCGCTTTTTTGTCTCGGCCTTCTTGTCCGTGCCATTGCCAAACAGGCTTCTTCAGGTGTGTTCAGAAATTTGACTGGTCATAATAACATTCTACGTGCAGTTGAAGTATGACTATGCAGCTCCCATGTAGGTGAATACAGACTATGTTTCAGAAGTTGGCGTGAAAGGAAAGTGCTAATATAGAAATGACTATTGGATGCGATCAAGAGGGCAATCCAGCATCCGCCTATTGTTGCGGATTTTCGCTAGCCGTCCGAAGACGAGGGCAGCAAGCGGATGAGCCTGGGCTCATTATGAGCTGCATTGGTCGGGCAACAAAAGGGGGGAAGGAATGAAGCGAGAAAGTAGGAATCTGCTGTTGAGCTGATGAACAGTCAACAAGAACAATAACGTCAAACAGCACCGCCATACTGTGTCTTCGCATTTCGCTAGCAGGATAATTGATTTGGACATGACCATACAAGGAGTCAACGGTACAGATTTAAATTTTCTAATGGACAACGAATGCTCTGGCTGATAAATCGGTTTGTACATTTCTTTGAGGTTTGGGCCGAGCAAGCCTGGGTGGTCCAGCGAACGGGACTGTTGATGGTCGGTCATGAAAACCCCCAGCCTCCGAGATTTTGGCCTATAATAAGACGGTAGATACCGAGACGGCCACCAACAAATGCGTTGCCACTTTCAATTTGTGCAGGGCTTACATATCGTTGATTTGTTCATGATTAGGTTTCCCCGGTAAATTCCTGAGGGGTGTTTAAACGGATACCTGATCAGCGGATAACAGTGGATATATTAAGTGGATCCATTCCGGAACTCAATTCGACGTTTTACACAGACTGTCCAGGGTATTCATTGACCAGGCAATTGGACCAAAAGAAGAAGAAATTTCTCGTTGTAGATGTGAAGAAAAACATCCAGTTACACACTGCCGTGTTCACTATGTAAAGACAGGCCTTGCAAGTCCGTTGCTGTCCTCGTGGTGATTTTATCTGGTTTTGGACATTCAACACGAGGCAACTTGCCGCTGACGCGAAAAGACCAACCCAAAAAACACGATCAGTGTTAATATAACCCGCGGGAAGTTCCTTGAAAGCTGTTACACTTTGGCAAGCTCCAGCTAAGTATGTCGTTGAAGTGAGATGGAATCGTTGTAAAGGCAAATGAAGTAACTTATAACATCTTATTGCTTACTCCTCCCAGAATTGTGGGCAATTTCATTGCTTATGTAAGGCTCAGCGGCGTGCTCAGTTTTACTCAGTGCGCAAAAAGCGGCAAGGGAAAGCCATGTCGCGCGGCCTAAATTCCGATGTATATGTAGGTAGTATCCGCATATGTACTCGGTACAAAGGACATACCTATATAGTAATCCGTACCGAGTTATCCATGGATCTCCTAAGGAGTATTCCGTACTTGATCTCAGGATTTCTGGGAGCACCTAGTGGGGCTGAGATGGAGCTGATGCTCCTCTGCCAAGTCTGCCCAAGTCCACGGGTCGTGAGGCTGGCCTCGTACTATGCTTTTCGGACATGCAACCGAAAGCGAATAAGCAAAGAATACGCTGTGTACATAATTGGTGGCAGGACCTGTGGACTTCAAGCTTACTATGACGTACATTGCGAGCTGTCTTCCCATGTCCCTATTCAAACTTATAGACCGACTGGTGGGTCATTTCTCTACTTCCCATGTGACATATACTCTTATAAATCAATGGGTCCCATCTCCAAGGCTGCGACGCTCGAATCTCCACCCCAGATACGCTATGCTCTACCTAGGTAGATTCCTTGACGACCAAACAGTGAATTCGCTACATAATACAAACTCGCATGCTTGAATGAAGCTAAATCGAATATTTACATATCAAGTTGCACAGTGCATATGTTTAATCAAGTGGCAAGGCCTCCAGGGCAAACTTACTTCCACTGAGCAGGCTTGGTAGCCTGGAAAGTCTTCAGGATGGAGATCACCTTCTCCAAAGCAGCGACCTCCTTGGCCATCGCGTCAGCGACCTTGGCCTGATCCTGACCCAGCTTCGCGTAGAAGTCCTTGCGGTATGGGGTGGCAGACATGGCAGCACTGAAGATGGGCTTGACGATGAAGGAGTGGTGGGGCTTGAGGGTGTTGCCGTAGGCTCCACGGAAGGAGTCAGAGAGTTCCGCGGAGGAGTCGATGTTGTGACGGAGGGCTTGGACGGTGAAGTCGAGGCCTCTGTTGAGAAGGACAAAAATTAGTCAGTGGTTCATGCACATTTGTGTAAATGGAAGAGATGCCATTGCAATTGGCCTCTCCCATCACAATCGAGACAGGTAAACATACCGGACCAGCCAGACCAGACCTTCAGTGGCAACGTGCTTGCCGGTCTTCAATTCGTTCAACACGAGGGCCTGCAGGGTCTCAGACTCCGCAGGAGCAGCCTGCTGACGCTCACGGACTTTCTGATGGGGTTTTAGAATGTGTTGACAACGGCGGTATAATGTTTTGGACGAACCTTGATGTTGCCGAGCAGGTCATTCTTGACCGGGGTGAAAGCGGCAGAACCGAGAACATCTAGACATTTCCTGCATTAGTTTGAGGCTGATATATGCAAGGGAACAATCCGCACCGAAGAGCGTCACCAGCGACTCAGCGGCCTCGAGGAACTCGGTGGTCGAGATGCCATCCTCCGCACCGATAGGGACGTCAGCGAAGGACTTGGTCATGGTATCAAACCATGTTCCGTCAGCGGGAATAGCAGCCATTTTGTAGAAGAATTCGAGAAGAAAATAGATAGAGGGAGAAAGGAGAAGAGAGCTTAATCAGGAGACCGTTGGGATATTGTCAACTTCACCGCTGCTGCCACGCAAGCCAATAGCGGGGCACAAGTGATGTGGAGATGATGCAAACAGTGTAAACAGTACCAACACCTTGGAGTTTCAACAAACTTGTTTGTATCGTTTGCAGCATGCATGAATCTGGCAACGACGTCATCGAATCATATTACACCGTGATTGGGCGAGCGCGCTATGAACCTTCTTTACTTTCAAGGTTTTACTTCCAAGGTTGGAGTTCGTCGTTCCTGGGCCATCTGCTTGCTGCTGCATATGTCTGGCGCATGTCCTTTTGGCCCACGAGGGTCCTACATAGTAGATTGTCATGAACTCTCCACCAGACCGGGCCAATCGGTCACGATCAGAAACCGACCCACGATCGTCGTACCATGAACATTATCATGGCTTGCAGACTGGCTCATACACAGACCAGCAGTTGGTATGTCTCTGTCTCTTGGAAGGTGAGTTACGGAACTGACCTGGTATTCCTTGACAGCGTCATGCTTCTGCCAACCATTTGCATATGACAAACCGGCGGTTTTTCGTCGGTCCAATCCCAGAAGGCTGGCTGCAAGGTCATCGCAAGTCCTGGTATAAGTCTCGACTGAGAGCCAGAAACTATACATCACAGACCGTCTCGTTCTCTGCGGGCCCTGTTGCGACCCATTACGACGAACATGGCGATCGGCCGGGCCCATTGTTACCCGATTTGGATGAGGAGGTCGCCCTGGCGCTCACCAACACAAACACGGAGGCTGCTGAGGAGCAATATAATGAGATCGAAACAGGGGCACCAGAAGAAGCTGTAGCAGAGCCTGTTGGGGAACTGAGGACCCTAACCCACCCTGAAGCTGAAGCTGAGGCCAGCGGTGACGATCCCTTACCGGAAGAGGACACAGAGACTAGGGATCATAGCCGGGAAGATAATGGAGAGTATAGCGGGGCCGATAGCGGAGGGGACAGCGGAGAGGATACGGACAGCACGCCTAAAGCCAGAACAAGGGAGCAATACGACACATACGGCAATGATCTTGGTTCATCTTCATTTGTCACCGCCAGAGAAGAGGTCGCCAGCTCTGCAGACATGGGACAATCAATAGCCACCGTACGAGCTAGCAGATTGGAACCGGCTGAGCTGCGACAAAGGTCCGCAGGCTCACATAACACAAATGTGACCGGTCATTCTTCTCCCAACCGTCCGACCACCAATCCATCAACGGCTCCAAGCGAGGCCGATTCAACAACACAGTTGCTTCGAAACAACTACAAGGACAAAGGGAAGCAGAAAAGTAAGGCGTCTGGCGTATCTCGAGCAACGCTTCAACAACACGACCCACAAGATGAAGATCATACTGGGGAAGATGCGCAAATCCAACGGAGAATAACTAGCAAGATGGCAAAATTCAACTTGGATGACAACATCAGACACAAGCAGCAAAGGATGCGCTCCAAGATCGCAAAGACCAAAGGTACTATATCTGCCAATCGACCGCGTCGACGAAAAGTGCAAGATGGAGAGATTGTCAAGGCAGAGAAGATGCTGGTCTGCGTAGAGGAGACTATGCAGGACACGCTTCCCGCCGATTATACCGAGAATGACAGCCTGCGCATGGAAACACGGACCGTGGACAAATGGAGGGAGTTCCTCGTTGTCTGCCGCAAAAGCTCTGCAGAGCATACGCCATTTGCCATTCAGATGTACCTCACTCGTGTAATTCCTGATGTGCAACGGCCGAACAGCAAAACGGCTCCTTATTACGAAGTACGGCTCAATCACAAAAATACCCATGTTAACTTCTATTCCCCCCTGGACAAGACCATCGTTATTTGGCATCCCCGCAAGCATGGAACCAAAATATTTATACTCCGTCCAAAGTCTGCGGCGCACTCTGCTGAATGGTACACTTTCATTCGTCAGGTTCTTGGATGGCGGCGTCCCACCTCACTCCCTATTCACGTCCCTGATCTAGGGGTTTCCTTCATTTTCAAAAATCCATTCAGCCAGCTCGAGGCAGGACTGAAAGCAGATAATTCTGATAGCGAGCACGCTGCAGCAGCTGCGGACCGGCCAGCAGCCGATAACAGATTTGCTGCCGCTGCCATCATCCGAGGATGCATGGATATGCTCGAAGGCTGTGCCGAGTGGGCCGAGGTCTTGAAAGCTTGGTCCAAGACCGAGAAGATGGGACTTGCTTGGAAGCGGTACGACCGACTTGAGTGGGTATTTGGAGTCAATGAGGAAAAGATGTATGGGACGATTGCGATGCAATCATCTCACGAGCTTGAGTTACGACCAAGGCATCATTACTCTACTAAAACTAGGCATCGGGGCATACAGGAGGAGCCTGCTCCGATCGAAGGATTTCTAGTCCGCCTCACATCCCAGAAGGGTGTGCATCAGCGAAGGAACAAGATGTTCTTCAAACGGTTGTACTTTTTTACCCAAGATCATTATTTGTTCTTCTGTCGGCCAGCGAAGGCATTGCCCCCGCCACCGCCGAAATGTGCTCCCCCAGAAGACGGAAGTGTGCCAACTGCCCGTGAAATCTTGGATCATATACCGCTCTCTTGGGATATTGATCCTTATCCACTTGAAAGTGGGGAGATTACATGGCTCTCAAGCGGCAATCGGGAATTCGTCAAACGACACGATGAAGAGGCTTATGCGCACGTACAGAGGAATATACACAATATCAGCCAGGCAGACGGGTATATCGATATGTGTGGGGTGCAAGAAGTCCGCAATGTCTATCGTGGCAGCTGCCCTGCTGACCCCAATATCCGGGAAGGGCCTTCTGTGGACTTCAATCGTGAACCCAGAGACTCACGACAGGATGACGGAGCCACGCGAGAGTTCGATGACGGCAGGACATTTGAGATGGTTCTCGATAACGGTCTTGTCATTCGACTCCAGGCGTACGATGATGCCACACGGAATGAATGGGTCAAACGACTCGATGCACTCGTGAAGTATTGGCACACTCGCTGCACAGACGATGCCACGGAACTACAGGCCGTACGACAGCGCAACCTGAAGCTGTTGGATATCGACGAGGCCATGGAATCCGTTGTCGGGCAGTTCGCGAAGAAGTGGGAAGTGAAGAAAGCCGAGGCATCTCCACATTTGCATAACATGTGCTCCCTGTCTGGTTGTCGAACTATTAGGGTAGGTTATCGCAGCATATCAGATGAACACAAGCACAACCCACTGACAACTCCCACAGATGTCCGGCCACCTCTATCGCAAGCCCCGTCGCCACACCACTTTCCACCGATGCGATGTCATCCTCACAGCAGGCAAGCTGTTAATTTTCCGAAGCACAATGCGCAGGCGAAACGGCACCGAGATTCCACACATTCATCAAGAACTCGAAGGGACCATCGAACTGAAAGATTGCTATATTTATTCGGGTTTGATTACCGAGAACGACTTGCTGTATGCCAATCAGACATTTGACAGCAATAACCCTGGTCTTCATGCTCTGCCACGGGTGTACCTCGATTCCGACGCCTTCACAAGTCGCGATGAGGACACTGCTATCACCTTCGTTATCTGGCAACCACTGAGTAAGAGTTACTTCCGAGTCCAGGAAATAGGGGACCAAGGCAAAGCCAAACGATCCTTGCGTCATGTGTCCACGCTGGGCAAGCACGGCCGTACTATCGTGTTTAAAGCACGTAGTCGTGTGGAAAAGGACCGTTGGGTGATGAGTATTTCCTCGGAAATTGACCGTCTACAGGAAGAGAAACATGAAGACATACGGCTTGTCTCTCCATAATTACTGGTTTATTGCCTGCGTTGTCGGCATTTCTCGGCCTTTCATGATTCTTATTCTATTGGTACACACCACTTGGTTTTCAACCTTTTCTTTCTCTCTCTTCTCGGAGACTTCCTCCTCTCATCCGCATACGCATAGACAGCATCTGTTACTCGAAATAGAATACAATGATATCTAGAATAAATTCCTAATATATTTTCCCAGTCAGACACAGGAAAACCCTGCTCTATCAATAAATACAAAGGCCAAGATATGTGCCAAACCCATCTATAAGCAGCCAATCAATTCAACAAGGGCTGTTCGAGCTTAACAGCATCCTTCAAAACACGATCCCGCACACTCTTTCGATACACATCCGCAGCCGCATCATCCGACGCAGACTCCGATTCCCAGTCCGTCCACTTCAGCCATCGCATCCGAGGTCCTAGCACCGCAAATACCTGCCCAGTAATCAGACTAAGACTAACAGGCCCGTACGTATTGCTATCGAGCGTCTTCCGCGGATCCTCCGCATCACCCTCCAACCAAACATGATTCCAGGGGACGATCTGTGTTTGCCGCAGACATGGCTCGCGAGTTGTGATTCGGTCACCGGGTAGACCGATGATGCGCTTAATAGCGATGTGAGAGGGGTTTGCAGGGGAGCTGTATGGATCGAAGATATTGTTAGTATTTGTTGCTGCACCTGACTCCGCAAAAAGACAAGGTATAAAATAAAACGCGCATAGCAACAAACCCACCGGAAAGTAACAACCATCCCTCGTTCCAGCTTCCGCTCTTTTTTGAATGGCACTATAGATCCCCATGGCCACATGTTGACCGCCACTATGTCGCTCTTCGTTTGCGTTTGCGCATACTCTTCATTCAGGTATGGTGTCATTGACGGCCCGCGAACCCACATCACTTGCATTACATGTTCTGGAAAGAATAGTGCGATCGGGAGCACAGGTGCTACCCAGCGGAGGGTGCTGCATGCTTGTCGGACTGGGTATGGGAGGGCGGAGATGCGTTGGCGGAGGTTTGTGAGGAAATGTGAGATGAAGGGTGTTCGTCTGTGTTGGGAGAGAGATGGGCCCTCATATGTAATGGGTTCTGCGGGTTGAGGCTTCTTTGGCTCTTCGCGGGCATGAACTCGGAACCGCGGATTGGGGG